ATGAAGTTAGCACTCTAACTCCTCCCGTGTGCGTGATCTCTGATAAGACCCCTAACTATCGCCTAGCCTATAGAAAAATGTATTGAGCCGTTTGATTCCCTATCATACTGACATAATAATGTAATCAATAAAATGTAACTCTTCTTAATCTTGGATTTCAATTAAAGGTGAGCCCCGCCTATTTTCAAGCCCAGTGGCGGAGCCAGCCCATTAGTGGGTGGGTCCCCGAACTACCTTGAATTTGGACTAGGAAGGGAAAAATACATTTGTTTGTGCTGTGTGTGGCCTTTGGCCTTTCCTCCGTGGGGTTCTTCCACTACACTACTAGAGATGTCAATCCAACCCATAACCATGGGTATCCTACCCGACCGTAACCGGTCAATGAGGGTAATTACTCGCTTTGACGGGTTAAGGGGCGGGTACGGGTAATACCCGGTTTCAAAATAAATGGTAGGGTACGGGTATAGTAATTGATAATACCCGCTCCGTTATACCCGCCCCGCTAACCAAAGGGTCAATTTCCTTTGAGAAATTTAGATTTGATTGAGAAATTGAGTTTAGCTACCATTATTGATGATGAAGATGTAGACGATTATTATGTTTGTGTGGATTGTAGAAACAAGAACAATTATTATGTGTTTGCTATTTTTATTTGTGTGGATTGTTGAAACTCGAACAATTACAAGTATTGAGAATTTTTTTTTATAAAGAAGTATTGAGAATTTTTAATAGACAACAATATGTATGTGCATATATGTGTATAAGTTCATAGTTTAGGATTCGTACCCATGGTTACCCGGTGGGTAGGGTATGGTTATATAATTTTCATACCCGGTGGTTATTTGGTCGGGTATTTTAGAAAGCTCTACCCGGCGGGTTAGGAGTTGGTATAGGGTAAACCCGCACCCGGCCCTACCATTGCCATCCCTATACACTACACAAGCCATTTATTATGATGTAATTTTATTTTTATTTATATTTGAATTGAATTACCGAGTAGAAAGATCCCAACAAATAATTTATTCCTCTCAATCCCTAATTGTTGAGCTTTCTAGGGAAATGGCCGTTGTATCAATTGTCAAAGAAACATCGAGTGTTTATGCTGGTGTATAGACTTCTAAAATTGGAATTGTTGCTATCTTTTGTAACTGCAAGTGTTGAAAGGGCATTTTCTGCAATAAATTTAGTGAAGAACACACTTGAAATCAAATGAGTGATGGAATCATGAATGATTTTTTGATTGGTTACATTGAGAGTGACATTCTTGATAGTTTGGATGATGAATGCATTTTACATACTTTTCAGAGTCTAAAAACATGGTGTTGAATAAAAGTCATTTTATAATTTTTTCTTTTATTGTTGGACTCACATTAGCAAAATCCTGGCTACCCCACCGTTCAAGCCGGCTCCATGACAGGATGGTGTCAAGATCAGTGACATTATCTCTTTAAAAGAACAAGTTACAAGTTTACTGTTTGGTAGAGTCACATCCAAACACTGTGACTTGGTTTGCTTTTTTGCCTCTTGTTCTCCTTTCTGATTGGCCCTTCTTCTGAGTTCTGACATCCATAGGTGGCTCTCTTTTGTAATTAACCATTAAACAAGACTTTACTGAGGACTAAAAATGCAATTATGTTTTATTTCTTTATTCCTTTCCTCTCTCCTGCACTTATTCCCATCCATTCATTTTCACCACTCCCGTAACTCCTCCCCCCTCCATCAATCTTCATCCCTCCCTCTCTCTCTCTTTCATTAATCTTATGTTTAATGATTTCTTTTTATGTACCTAAATTCATGTGTACTCAATTTAATTCGATCCGGTTTCGGTGTTGCCGAATTTTTGGTCGGCAACATATTTTACCAACTTTTGCAAATGACGAATTGGGTTGTCTGTCGCTTTTGTTAAAAACTATATTCAACCTGATTCGACCCAGTCCCGATGTTGCCAGATTTCTGTTGGGAACGAATTTTACCCGCTTTTGCTGAGTCGGGTGTACTCAATCTAATGCGATCCGGTTTCGGTGCTGCCGACTTTTTTATCGGCAACAGATTTTACCAACTTTTGTAAGTAACGAATTGAGTTGTGTGTCGCTTTTGTTAAAAGCTATATTCAATCTAATTCGACCCGGTCTCGGTGTTGCCGAATTTTGGGTCGGGAACGAATTTTACCCGCTTTTGTTGGGTCGGGTGTGGATCTCTTTAAAAGAACAAACTACATGTTACTGTTTTGTAGAGTCACATCACACAAGTGCCTATTTCGAAATTGAAAAAAAACTTTGGGAACTTGTTTGGAAATTTTACAGATATTTTTTTTGCTTTTCCCTCCCATCTCTCTTCCCAGCCACACAACTTTTCTTCTCTCTTTCTCTTCCTTCTACAGAAACCAACAACCCACTTGTTTCTTTCTCCCTCTCTCTGTACAAGAAAAAAAAAAAAAAGGAAGAATATGAAGAAGAAGAAGACGCAGGAAGCAGAAGAACCAGGAGAAGAAGGAACCCCCACCCCACCCCACCTCACTTGTGCTCTTCCTTTTCTCTTCTCTCCGACGTCGTCTCTTTCGCGCTCTGCGATCTCAAATCTCCGAAATCGCCCATGAAGCGGCAAACTTGGCAATGAAGGAGAGTCATTCGACGCCTGGTTGGCTAGATCGTGAGTTTTCTTATGTTTTTAGTGTTCTTAACGCCGCCGATCTTATTTCTCCGAATCTGTTCGTTTATTTTTTCTGTTTTTCTTTGTTCTCTTACTTGGTTAGAACGTCCTTTTGGATCGATGAAGAGAAGGGAAGGCGTGAACGACGATGAAGGTTGGCAATGGACGTCGGTGATGGTCCCAGCAACGAGTGACAATCATTTTTTTTTTTTTGCATATTGTCATTCTTGGATTTTTGTTGGTTTTAATTCTTACTTCTTGTCATCTTTTGTTCCTGGGTTTTTGATCAGGAAGAAGGAAGTGATTCGTCTACACTCATGCCAGAAGGAACATGTCATGCCGCCGGCGGTGGGACTGCTGTCAACCGCGACCAAGGCGGTAAGTTGTTTTTGTGGAATTATTTTCTTCTCTCTATTCCCATTGGAGTTTAGTCACGCCTTTTTTGGTTTCTCTGGCTAGGGTTTGTATGATCAGGAACAAATCAATCTGGGTTAAGTAAGTCTGGATTCCATCCGAACTCCCGGCCATCCTGCCCCTTTCTGTACAGGCTCCTTCGATATGCAAAGATGGACGTTGCATCACAGCGCTCAAAAAACCCGTAACATTGCCCATTGGTTAGTGCCAACTGCAGATTCCCATGTTTTTTTATTATCTCTAGAGCTATCTATCTGGTTTCATTCCTGTTTATGTCATTTAACTTTTTCTGCTGAGTTTAGCCCTTTTTTTTTTGTTCGTTAGATAATTTATCTTTTTACTCTGGTGTTTGTTTCCGTCCAGCCATGTGATATGGGATGGGTTAGGAGGAACGCAAATAAGGAGTTGTTTGCTGTTGAATTGGATTTGCCCCATTGAATAAGCACATCTTCCCTGTTCATATATGCAAGCAAGGTGAGACTTAGGTCTTCTTTGTTTCATTGTTTCCATCTTTTTTAATGATATGGAATTGGTTGTGGGTGTTGTGGTATCTCAGGAACATAAATCGTTGTATGGCAGGTTGTGGATATGCAATGTTAAGGGAACTTGCTTATGTCTTGGACGAAAAGGGTTGATTTCCTTCCATTCGAGACTGGTTTGCTGGTTTCTTATACGAAATTGTGCTGCCCTGAATTCGAAGATTATGAGAACTGGGGCCAGTACATTGGAGTTTTCCTTACGTGGTGGCTATGTGGTGTTACTTTCGGTTTCAGGTAACTTCTCGCTATCATCTGTTATAGATTCAGTAATTGATGCCGTTGAACTCCCTTAACCATGCACATGCAATGGAAAGATTCACTGCCATCCCAGAGCAGCGTTGTGAAAAGATATATTTCAGAAGTATGCTTGCTGCATTAGCTATGGGGATGATGGGTCAAACTAATTTTGTGATTTTATATAGTTCTACTCTTACTTTTCAGGTTTCTTATGTTCTGGTCCAGTTACAAAACTAAGCTACTTCAGAGTTTTGCCGATTTCCTGCTGTCATTCTGCGTAATGGCGAATTTCAGCGGCATCCCATTTTGGTAATCGATTGCTTTCCAGTTGAAGTGCCTTAGCTATTTACGCTTTCAAATTTAATCTTTTGAAGGAAACATGCTATTTTGCCTGACACAGTTCCATTTGATTTGCCCAGCTACGCTCTTGGACCATATAAAGTACTTGCTGCATGAGATTAAACTTTGGAAAGGGAGAGGTTAGGTTGAATATCTTTTGCCATTACCTCTATTTTTTACCCCTTCTTTTATAATTAAGAAAAAAAAATGTTAGTTTCCTGCTCCTCTTTACCATGAAGTTAGCTGAATGAGTTCTGAAATTTGGTTTGTTAGAATTCAGATTCAGATGCAATTTCCTCCCTACTCTTACTCTAATTGAAGTTAGTTGAATGCCTCAGGAACCAATACTTAGATATTTGACAGAATACGATGTTATTTTCCCTTCTAATCAATGAGTTGTTTTTATCTCAAGCTATATTCCTACCAGGTCAACGACAGCTTAATATGAGCACCAAGTAATTGTGCTCTCTGTTGCTTTCAAACACAGTTGATTTGAATGCCACTGATTTATATTAGGTGCTCAACTTAATCTTCTTTTAATATCTTAAATAATCTTTCCCGGTGGGTGGTTTTTTTTAATGTAAATTTAGTGTTTGATTACAACTTACACATTCTCAAATGTTTACCGACAAACAATTATGCATGTATTATGTACCATTTAAAACAACAGTGGAGTGGACGTTGCCTTCTCAAATCTTGCCAACCATGGCTGTGATCATTGTACAATGTGGTTCCACTTAGAATGCAGCCATAGTCTACCTCAGACATCACTAGCCAATTTAAATTTTTCTTTTTGTACTTTTGTTGTATGGCCTTATGAAACTCAGATTGTTCTCTGTTTCAAGGAACAATGGATTTATTATAACCTAAAAGGAAATACAGCGGGAGCAGCAACTACTATGACAGATGGAAAGTCCCTCCTTTGATCCAAGCCCTCATTTGCCGGGAAGTCCAATTTACTATCCACCAACCAATGACTTTTGACATATCTATGGTATTCTCCTGTCTCTCTTCTTTCAAATTTCAGTCATGCTTTTCCTCTATGAGTATAGCACTTGATTACGAATTCAGTTAACTTCTTTTGTGGATTGCGTAACTCTAAAGGTGGTTGTTGAATAACCATTACTTTATTTTTTTAGTTGTTCTTACTGAACTTGGGAACATCATTAACCATACAATACTGATCAGGAAACTGTATCGAACCTGCCTTGATTATTTTGCGTCGGTCGTATGTTTGTTAGTACTGAATGACATGGATATGAAGCAAGTATTTCAATCGCGGAGGTCGTAGTTAGTTGTAGAGCTGAAACGCCGAGAAGGTTGGGGTTTAGTTTTTGTGGTTGTGATATATGGGTCCAAATATATCCGATTTAGATGTATTTGGTGGGTTTGAACAACAGAAACTGAATCGTAATGGGAGCGGTGCATACTTCATTACTAAAGTCATTATTTTAACGGATCATATGAAAGGAGTTCTACAGGTTCTCGCTTCTTCTGAATGCACTCAATAGTTAGCTAACCCACTATGTTAAATGTATGAAGCCTCTTCTTTAGATTTATGTTTCAATTAGCGGGCAGATGCATGCTACTTTGTTGACAAAATCCTATTTTTTTTACTTACAATTTTACAAACAGAAGCTTGGTCAACAGTGCTTGATGGACAATAACACATGTGGTGCTGCGAAGAACCCAAACCAATGTAAAACAACTATCTTGGAGATTGACCTCAAATATCCCCTGGTTCTAACTTTAGTTGGGGTTGCACTGTGGCTTTGGTAATCAATTCGGAAGTCTAATTGATATTTCTCTCTTTTGCTAAACTGCTGGTCCAGCTGGCTGCAGAGTTATAGGTTTTATTCTGTTGGCTCGAGGGGCAATGATAGTGACGAACTGTGACCGACTCTTTGGGAAGTTCAGGGATAACTCTACTCTCTCTTTAGAACTTTAACGAAGAAGAAGAACGCAGCGGCGCCTTAAGTCACCGCAGGTGAGAAGCCCCTTACTTCTTTAGTCTCTGTTTGTTTGATTACTTTCAGTGAGGAAACCACAAAATACAAATTAATGCTTGGGAGTCTTGGAGCTTGTTTGCTTTGTTTGTTTCCAATTGATTGGATTATATATACAGATTAATATTACAGCTTTATGTGAGATTCCAAATCAAGCAATATGCATCAATGTAGTTTAGATTGCTTTTAGTTTGTTCTTCTTTGCAATTCTGAAGCCCTCATATTTTTAGCTTCCTATAAGTTTGTTTCCTAATTGGAACTATATATTTTTTAAAAATTTGCCTTCATGTTCACACCATAGCTCGGTGTCATAAAGAACAGCTGAACACCATTTTCTGGCTTATGGTGTGGTGTCAATTATGACTACTGCTGAAACATCTCTTTTATGAGCAGCCTCAGTGAAATTGATCGTCACGCTTTGGGAAGCAAGCCAAGGATGAATTGTTGACGGGACTGATTACCCGATTCTTTGTATGCCTCTTTCTATCTGATCTGAGGTTTTGGGGTCCGTTATATACTGGCTCTATTTTGAGTTTGTAGTTTCCACCGATATCAGCTTATCACTCCTTCAATGAAGTTTTAAGGATGGTAGTATGGGTCATTTAAATATTGTAATCAAGGTCGATTTATATACATGAATTGACTGCTGACTGTATGTCCTAGATTTGTCAACCTCTTCTTCGAGTTGCTTTGGTACATTAATGAAACCCAAGTTTTGCATAAAGTTTCGGGTCATTTCCCAAACATGTAGGGTAGAAACCTTCTTAGTCAACAGGGCCTGGCAAAACTAGGTTCATGTATGTACTTTTCATAAAGTACCTTGGTTTAAAAGTTTTTGGCATTTTCTATTAGTTACCCTCTTAATAGTGATGAAGTGGCGCCTTATCAGATATACGAGTTGCCCTCCTGCTGCATGCTCAATTATCTTAGCCATTTTTTTGAGCTAAAATACATTTGCTGTGCCTTTCCGGTCGTAGATGGGTCAGATTGTTTACTATAAGGCCTTGCTCACTTGGTGGCGCTAACGACGGAGAAGATCTCTATAACGTCATGAGAAGGTTCAGGTTTTAACATTCCACTTCCTCGGCGAGACTCTTATTCAATGTCACTTACTGGTATGATCCCACCTATGCATTTATGTTCTCTCTCCTTTGTCTTTTGTTCACAGTTGATTTGATCGTTGTTCGAGTATGCTCAGAACTTTTCCTTCTTTCCATGAATCTGGGTGTGTTTATAGCATACCTTCTCCTCTCTTTATGTTTCCCATATTTGCCTTTCTTTTGTGATTCGTTAGTCTTTCTTGGGGTTTCCTTTGACGGGTATTGCCCCCTTCCACGAATCTAGGTTTTGTATATAGTAACCTGTTTATGTTCTCGATCATCTTAATTATTCCTTCCTTCTTAAATGGTAAGTTAGGTTAGCTTCACCGTCTCCTGTTATTGATATGAATTCAATTTTGTGATGCTATCTAGAAAATAAGGAATTTTAGTTGCTGCCCTGTGCACTAATTTATATTTAGGTGTATTTTATCAGTGATTTCTGAATGGAGACTGATGTAAAAGGCGGGAGGCAGTGATAAGGACGAGCCGCAACCAGTTCATACTGAGAGGAGACATATGAACTGCTCATGTCATATTTCAGGTTAGAAAGTAGTTTCAGTTTATGTATTATTTAATTTTACAAATTGTTTCCTTCGGTAGTTTCAGCGCCATTATAGCCATTGTTTAGCCTGTAATTTTGAACATTGACGTTGTGAGTGCTGCCTTTTAGTTAACTTCGATTGTTAAAGAAATAATTTCCTTTGCTTTTCATTTAATTTCATACTCTAATTGTATCATTTGTACATAGGCGAACCATGCTAGAGTTTCTCAGGAAATACATGCAATGGAAGTCCTGAATTTGAGACTTTCTACACCAAAAATATTCTCGCTGATGAGGTCGGTGCAAGGAACGAAGTCACTGGTGGAATTCAGACTGCCAACGAGGAGGGATGCTCACGACCAATTCAATGGCGATGGTTGGCTGGAAGGAAGAAGAATCCATCCGAGAAGGAGGAAGGAGGTAGGGAGAAGAACTTACTGGGGCGAATATGAAAGTGTGGCAAGCGTTGTTATTATTTTATTTTATGTTTTAGGGATTTTAAGAATTCTGATATGTTTATTGCTTTTGGTGGAATAAAGGGAGAAGGGTCCCCGTTGGCAATCTTGGCAGGAAGAAGAATCCACCCGAGAAGGAGGAAGGAGGTGGGTAAAAGAAGGTACACGGTAAATCTGAAAGTCTGGTAAGTGTTTTTTTTTTGTTTATTTGACTCTATGTTTGGGGAGTTTAAGGGTTCTTATATGTTTATTGATTTTGGTGGAAGAAAGGATCTGCCACAGCAATCCCAGATTCGTTTGGGCGAGAGAAATCGGAGGATACACAGAACCGCAAGGTGGGTTTCTTATGTTTTTTTTCTAGACAGATTCGTTCTCCATCACTCTCAACCTATGCATTATTAGAAGATACCGGCACCGAGTTCATAAGCCCCGGAGATGGTCATCAATTCCAGCGAAAAGCTACCAATCTGAAGATCTGTGGTTTGGGTTATAAATCCATGTTGAAGAGGATCCATTGTGGAGAACGAGATTGGCGACGGAAGGAAACCAGATTTGCTTGTCCTGACATTTGAAGGTGATAAGTCGATATTGATGGTTTTGGTTCATCTCTCACATTTGTTCTGATTAGATGCATATTCTTAACTATGTTCTCTGGTTCTGTTGCCCAAACGGTTCCCGCACGAAGAAGTTCTCGGTTGTGAGGATCCCTCTCCGACGAAGCAAAATCCGAAGATGGTGTGTGTGGGCGATTCTCAAGCCAGAGCATGCTGATTCTCTTGCCCTTTGAGTTTATGGGATTTTCTGAGAGCTGAGTTGATCGTGGAATCTCAGCGAAATGCTGCTGGACCATTAGATGAATGCTTTGCGAAACCTTCCTCCCGTCGTCGTGAACTCAGGTCTCTCTCTCCCCCACCCTCCTTCTCCTTCCCCTGCCATTTTTTCCCTTTTTTCCTGCGGTTACTGAATGGCAATTCCTTGGCTTTTTCCTTCCATCCCCCAATCATATATGAGTTGGGTTTCAGGTTTTGATTGATTGTCGGGTTTGAGAAATTGACGGTCGGGTTGGGGAAGAAGCAGGTTCGATTTTTGGATTTTCATTTTTAGGTTATTGTTTTTCCGATTTTCCTTGAATGTGATCATGCCCTCTTTTCCTGTTTCAGAAGAGCACGTCTGGTCTTGGAGATTTTATAATCGAATTCGCTGATGGGGATTTGGGAAGGTAAGACACTGTCCGCAACATCGTCGTAATCCTATCCTCTTGAGACAGTGGCTAGGCATAGGCGAAGGTCATTTTATATGTCTTTTCCTTATCTTTTTTTCCCCTTCTCCCCCTGGTAATCTGTCCTGTTTTATCTTTCTGATTCATCGCTTTTGTTTGCTATTTCGGATAGCGATTCGGTGTTTTAGAGTTGACAATCGATCTGAACATTAGAGTCGTCAGAGCGGGCAAGCGAACCAGAAACATCATTTGAAGTTTTTCCCTCCGTTTCACTTTGATCTAATTAGTTTTGTTGTTGTCAAAGATTCATTCGGTGGAGGAACTTCTATTTTAGGACTCTCTTTCTCAATCTTCCAGATTTACTGTGAGAAGTTTTGTTATTTTGGGGTTCTATATCTGCATTGACGTCCATGATCGACCCATTTAAGCTTTCTTTTTCCCTTTCGTTGAATTTCCGAGTGTGGAGAACTCGGTAGAGGTCCTTCACATATGGCAGGTTGATTAATAATAGTGTGGAAACATAATTAGGGGACTTCCCCTATTCTAACTGTCCTTTGAGTCTAACTCCATTAAAAAATGTATGTCAGTTCCCTTACGTGTGACCTCTTCATGGGATATCAAGGTCTGTGTTCTTTTTCTTATTGAGTATTGAGATCAAAATGGTAGTTTTGGTTATCTATTAAATGTATGTGGTGCATAGATGTGCAGGTAATGCTTGCCTTGTGGATTAAACCAAAACTGGAGTACCTGTACTATAACTTCTGGAGAGGACAGTTGATTGGGAGCAGCAACTCAAGAAAGCATATATGTGCTTTTGAAGTAGGTCCAGGTTAGCCACTGTTCTCTGTGAATTTTGCAGTTTTTGCTATGACAGAAGTAATCTTTATTTTGCTCTACCTTAGATCCTACTATTTTCATGAATCTGAGTATTTTTACGGTTTATGAATGTTGATGTGCAATAATATGTTGCTTGCTTTCTAAGTGTTCTTGAGAAGGTAGGACTGGACAAAATTGAACCATCACACATAATGTCGTGATCTCCATTTTTTGTGCAGTTGCCTTTACATTGCAGATTTGTCCCCTTTGTTGGTAATTATGTCCCTTTAGGGGTTGTTCCCCCCTTATATGACTACACTAACTAGACTACTCTACTTGACAGCAGTATCACTTATTCTTCTTCATTTAACATCACATTCCTCATATCTCAATGAAGTGGAGACTATTGGAGCTACCTACTGAATGTAAGTACTGATACAAGTGTTGCCAGTAATGCAGTATCTACATGTTCAATTAGCATTCGGTTTTGGTTGTGTTGCCCTTTTCTGTGTGTGGTTTATTTTGCCACTAAGACCAATACTGAAAAAGTGATTGGCAAAAGGCATTTCAAGATATGACAAGGAATGAACATGGTGTATCAGCAATCAGCATGCTGCCATTTTGTTGTGTGTTGAATTTGTAACCTTAGAGAGATGGTGATAAAAATCAGCTTATCAGGATGCCATGGCTAGACTTGGCACTATTCTCATTAACTCTAAGTTTACACGTTCATAATAATTGCTATTTCCCATTAAAATCTTTTATATGTTCTTTTTTTGTTTTATTTGCTCGACCCATACAGTGCACTGCCATTTTCATTCTGTTTGAGGTTCGGTGAGGTTGATTATGCTTTCTTAAGCTGCTTAGTGAACACTGATGAACTCCAGGTTTACATCTATTCGTGGCTCTTTATATCTAAAACTCTTTGCTTGCTTACAATGTCAGGTCAGAGCTTTATTACAAATCAGATTGCTTGCTTTTATGCCTGGGTTTGCAGGTATGCATTGAGGACTTATAGGCTGAACTGTAAGCATCTTATTCTGCAACATTTAAATTGGTGAGATTTCTAGGCTGAAATGGACTCAATTTCTTAGCATTCTGTAATTCAATAGAAATAGAAGTTTTATTGGTATTATGGAATCACAGAGGAGGATAAAAATAAAGTTCATTAAACTAAAGCAGCCGTCTTTCATGTCAATTTCTCCTCAATCCACAGTTTCTTTCAATCGATGAACATATGTTGCCATGGGATGAAGAAACCGAACTTCCTGTGTCGTGTAGTTCATAAATTCTTCTTTAACCTTTAATCAATTTCTTTTTGATTAGTAAGATGTTGCCTTATATATAAACACAGGTTCATGATAGTTACTCCCACTGATTCTGTAAGTTGAATTGCTATAGTGTTTCAATAGGTTGTTTTTGCGCCCAGCTGTTGGCTCCATGGTGTAAGGATATGAATTGTGTGTTTGTATTGACGTGACCGAGCTGTTGTCGGACATGTTGGACAGCAGGCGACTCGACGCTGATCGTGGGCGCCGAAATTCTAGATTGCAACGAAGAGCTAGGGTTTCGGGATTAAAGCTGTAAGAATGTGAATCGTGTGTTTGTATTGACATTGAGAAGGGGCATTTATACCCACAATTGTACAGGTTCATGTAGGACAAGGAAACTTACGTCAATATGAATAAAGATTTATCCCTAATACATGGAACTTACCCTCTACTATCCATTTATGTCTATGGATGCCATACATATGATTTTTGATAGGTTCATTTGACTGATTTTTGGGATGGATTTCTGACTAAATTCTGTAATTGCTTTCTAGGTAGTTTAATTATCACCAGCTGAAGTTCAATCTATGCCTGATCCCCGCTCATCCATTTTCACTTTCTTTTTAGAATTCTTGGTTTCTATATATTGCTGTATCCAGTGTTGTTTGAGCCGTGTAAAAGGTGATTGTCAAGGGAGTTGTTGACGATAGCTATCTGAATTGAATATCAATATATTATGTCAATTAGGATGTTTTTCGCATCATTCTAACTCATAAATCCCGAGATACTGTCCACTAGCCGAAATTGTAGTCGGCCAAATAATAAGGTATTTACTTCAGGTGCTGCAATTCAGTCCAAACAATGGGTTACGATTTGGTTGGGTAAGATCCTCTAAATGTTATTTCCAGTGCACTATGCATGCGTATTATTAATTCAAATGTTTAAATTATAAGTAATTATACATTTAGTGTTATTAGGTTATAATTAATATGTTTTACATGTTTAAATTATAAGTAATTATACATTTAGTGTTATTAGGTTATAATTAATATGTTTTACAATGTGTGTGTTACAACACACACCTCCCGACGCTAGGAGGTATATAGATAAGAGAGGCCAAGCTATGGTTAACTTGGGTAGCGATCCAAAGGTTCATTTTACCTCTCTTTTGTGTGTTGCCGGTTATTTAGCAGAAGCTAACTAGCTAACTAATATGATCCCGTACCTATTGCGCCCGTCGCGTAGCGCGTGCTTTTCCTTACTAGAGTCACATAAACAGCGTTAGTACGTCATGTGTTCACGTCTAATGCTTATTGCGGTGTAGTCGTTATAATTTGACTTAGAAGAACAAATACTTCTGCGATTTCAGGTACATTTATGTCTTCCGTTTCCGTTAGCTCTTGAACAATGCACTAGAGAATGCTTATTAATATTGCACTCAACTTATTTATTCCCGTATGCAGTGCATTTCTGCACCGACTGCATATTTTCCCTAACATTGTCGAATGGAACATCCTGATCATCCCGCCGCGAAGCGCGGGCTTCCTTACTAGTTCCATATAGAAAGGCAAACTCATGGGAGCAAGTTCCAAGTGTCTGAAAAAATATGAGTGGATCCTAAATATTACAATGCGGCCGGCGGGATCTCAGCCGTCCCAAATTCGAAGAGCATTCCCGCTTTTACCTCCAACCACAACTGAGCCATCAAGTGAAGTGACCCAGTCCAGTGATTCCCCCGGCAGTCGGAATAGCCCCAAAGGGACAAGCAAACCCACGTCCCGGACAGAATAAGGCAGCACCGTCTGTTTATCGCCACAGGGATACGGCCGGCCAGGCTTTCCATATTCTGCACTATATAATCAAGTATCACAGCACCTCACTTCCTCAACACCAACCAAATACATGCAACCACGAGCAACAATGCCTGCCGCCACTTCTTCTCTTTTGCTTCTCTTATCCTTCTTCTTCTTCACCTTCCACGTAGCCCAAACCACAGCAAACAACGATCTGCAGACCTACATCATTCAAGTCGGTAATCCCCAAGGCAGAACCTTGGCAGAATCAGAAGATGTAGAGACTTGGTACCGCTCGTTCCTACCAACGACAACATCCTCCACCACCACCACAGCCAGTTCAGACAGTGATCATCATCATCAGCAGCAGCAGCAGCAGAAGGGAAATGACCGTCTGCTCTACGCTTACCATGACGTGATCAGCGGATTCTCGGCAAGGCTGACACCATCAGAAGTCAAAGACATGGAGGCAAAAAACTTCTTCATATCAGCACGACCCGAAAGATCACTCAAGCTACAGACCACACACAGCCCCAAGTTCTTGGGGCTCCAACAGCGGCAAGGGGTCTGGAAAGACGCCAACTTCGGAACCGGGGTGATCATTGCAGTACTCGACGGCGGAGTCCTGCCTTCTCACCCTTCATTCAGCGGCCATGGCATGCCCCCGCCGCCAGCCAAATGGAAAGGGAAATGCGAGTTCAAAGACTCATCGCTATGTAACAACAAGCTGATCGGCGCGAGGTCTTTCAACTTGGCAGCCAAGGCGAGAAGTAATGGGACGGTACCTGAGGAACAACCACTTGACATCGACGGTCACGGAACTCACACGGCCAGCACAGCTGCTGGCGCTTTCGTCAGCAATGCTGACGTTCTTGGAAATGCTAGAGGGACAGCAGCTGGAATAGCACCTTCTGCTCATCTCGCCATTTACAAGGTCTGCTTTCCGGATGGCGGCGTGGATTGCGCAGAAAGCGATATACTCGCAGGGATGGACGCTGCAATTCAGGACGGAGTCGATGTGATGTCCATATCCATTGGAGATGATCCTGGTACGCCGCTTTTCGACGACATTATGGCCGTCGGCTCGTTCGCCGCCATCGAGAAGGGGATATTCGTGAGCTGTTCCGCTGGTAACTTTGGGCCAACCAACAGCACGTTGTCGAACGAAGCTCCATGGATTCTAACGGTCGGAGCGACCAGCTTGGACAGGATGCTCGTTGCTACGGCGAAGCTTGGAAACGGTGCGGTGTACGATGGCCAATCCATTTCCCGGCAGAAAAACAGTAAGCAGCCGGAAAAACAACTGCCACTCGTGTTCGCAGGAGCTGGCCGCCTCTCGAATTCGTCCTTGTGTGGTGAAGGAGCGCTCAATGGCCTTGATGTGAAAGGAAAAGTTGTTCTCTGTGAGAGAGGCATCGTAGGGAGAATTGCGAAAGGCCAAATGGTGAAGGATGCAGGCGGGGCAGCCATGATTCTCATGAATAAAGAGATAGACGGGTTCAGTACACTGGCCGATCTCCACGTTCTTCCAGCTGCACACGTCAGCTTTGCTGACGGGGAGAAGATCAAAGCTTACATAAACTCGACGAGGTGGCCAACTGCGACGGTTGTGTTTAGAGGAACTACCTTGAGGGACACGTCAACATCAGCTCCGGCCATGCTTTCAGTCTCGTCGAGAGGTCCTGCAACACAGAGCAAAGGGATTCTGAAGCCAGACATTGTTGGTCCAGGTGCAAACATTATAGCAGCTTGGCCATTCTCTCTAGAGAACGCAACAGTCACTGCACCAACCTTCAACGTGATGACAGGGACATCAATGTCTTGCCCTCATCTAAGTGGAGTTGCAGCATTGCTCAAAGGCTCCCACCCATCTTGGTCGCCGGCAGCCATAAAGTCTGCCATGATGACTACTGCAGATGTCACGAACATTGCCGGAAAGCCGATTGTTGATGAGAAACATCAGCCTGCTGACGTCTTTGCCATTGGTGCAGGGCATGTGAATCCAACAAAGGCCAACAACCCAGGTTTGATATACGACATTAAACCCGATGACTACATGTCGTATCTGTGTGGGTTAGGGTACACAGACCAGCAAGTTGGGAAGATTGTTCGTAGAAATATCAAATGTGCAGAGCAAGAGAAGTTACCAGGAGGGCAGCTGAACTATCCTTCATTCTCTGTCACACTTGGACATTCTCAGACATTCACCCGGACAGTGACCAACGTTGGAACAGCTAGTTCAGTTTATGCAGTGAAGATTAACCCTCCATCTGGAGTTTATGTCACGGTCAAACCTTCAATCCTCAGCTTCTCCGACATGAACCATAAGGCTACATATGCTGTCACATTCACTCGTGCTAGAAATAACACTGCAATCCGACCATTTACTCAAGGGTATATAGCATGGACTTCTGATAAATACTCTGTCACGAGTCCAATATCGGTGACATTGCAGTGACAAAATATGCAGAAGAAACCCTATCCATGCCAAGTCACAATTTGTATTACTACGTAAAGCTTCGATTGATGTTGAATTCGACTCAAATCTCCTGCAATTTATCTTAAGTAACTTTCTTAATGAAACAAGGTTTGTTGAAAATTCTGAAGTAGCAACTCAGTGGCACTTTGGTAGCTAGGGCGTGCACCAAACTGCGACAAAGCTGTGACTAAAGGGCTCTTGGCAGCTTAACTACACCAAGTTACTCGCACCTGATTCAAATAGGAAGCATTAGAATCAATTTAATTAAACCCCAGAAAATACTACAGCAAAGGAAATTGGAGAATCAACGTACCTCTCTCTGCTTTATCATTGAGGATCGTCATATCAGCAACTACTTCTGAAATTTCAAAGGAAGAATAGCAAGTACGCTGTACAATTTCACATGCCCTTTTGTTGTGTGTTAACAACTTTTTACAAGAATTTTGACCCAGCAGAGTAAATCTTAATACTTGTGTCCAATTCTAACCAAAGGCTACCTAAAGTCCACCTTTCCATCAAGCAAACGAAAACAGGTGAAGAAAGGAAAAACGGGGCACATGTTGCCACTATAACATCTGTACACTAGGTAACAACACCTTTGTCGTAATGACCAAATTCCCTGATACAGTCATCCAATGAGTAGACAACAAAACAACATAAAGTCTCCCGGTTCTTGGGACTAGAAAAGACTGAGCAAGAATTGCCTTACAGCAACTTGCAGAATCCCCCATCCAAAGAATATATGGATCCAAAAAAAGACTTGGCTAATGATGGATCTTCATGTTGCAACTGCATTTCATTTATCTTGATGTGAATGATGCCTTCGTTTATGAGAGTGGTTCTGTCCAGGTGAATTTCTGCAATAAACGTGACTTTATCAAAATTTGATTGAATGGGTTAATAAATCTTCCTTCCGGATAAAAGAAACACTTACAAATCATCATCATCATCATCATGCCTTCTACGTCTTGAAGTCCCATGTGTTGACCGATAGTGGCTGCGGTCACTCGAGTTACTGCAAGGAAAATAACCTCATCAGCCCAACTCCCAAAAAAAGGAAGAAAAGTCTAATCAAACCATTTTGCTTCCCAAGAAGAACAAACTTACGATTCATTATCAAGTCTTTTACTTCTTGATGTCTCGTGTGTCATCAGAGAATGCTTTGGTTCCCTTGACCTTCAACAGAAATACGTTAACAGGTTAGTCAAGGAACAACACAGTAAAAGAACATATTTCTCAAAGTAACAGGATCTTACAAGTCATCCCCTGTCCTTTTACTTCTTGATCCCTCATGTGCGGTTCGTGTTTGGCTACGATCACTCGAGTTTCTGCAAGGTACATCATATTATCTCAACCACGAAGATAAGAAGTACTAGGACCACCATTTGCTTCCCAAGACTTACGAGTCATCTTTGCTCCTTTTACTCCTTGAAGTCTCACGTGTTGCTTGAGATTTTCCACCTACCTGCCAACATTAAAAATGGTTCAGAAGCTTACAACGCATGACAACTACATAAGTTCTTCCATAGAACGTATCTGCAACAGCTGCAGTAACATGCCTATCATAAATTATAATAACTACCCAGTGTCACTGATTTCAGAAACATGCTGCAAATGTCCAGAGGTATGTTCTTTTCTATAATATAGAAAGGTCTGCTCAAAGAAATCAAGAGTGCTTTCACAATCAAATATACTTATGGTAACAGTCAATTATAAACTTCCTAAGAAATACCCGCCCTCAGGAAAAACAAAATGGGAGGTGGGGGAAAGATGAAAAAAAAAATAGTTTGGTAATCAAAAGCATAATACAATTATATAGCTTCCATTTGGCAAACTACAGAAAGAGAGAGAGAGAGAGAGAGAGAGAGAGAGAGAGAGACGATGAACAAACATTTAATGCCAGGATACTGCAATGCATATCAGATAATCCACATCTCGAGCACAGGAGTCGACTACAAATGAAATATATCCGGAGATTTTGGATGAACATAGCATCCTTTTCGCAACCAAAATACCACATCCACATAATGAAACATCAATGTACTGACCCGTGGATTCAATTTGATGCTTTTACTATGAACCTCCAGGTATTGCTCATATGTCTGCATAGAGTAATCAACATTAAGCCATAACTGTCAGTGGGAGCAGCAAGTTCCTGTGTCATATGAAACAATTAATAATAATCCAGGAAATATTACAACGGATACATTCAAAGTACCAGCACGAATAATATACCCCTCCTATTAGAAATTTAAAGGTGGCGCTAGAATAGGTTAAGGAGTGCGGGTTGGGAGAGAACTATAGTCCACAAGAAAGTAACTGTCCCATCCACAGTTCTGTTGAATAAAATTTAGTTACAACTCATTCGAGACTGATATTATCCAAAACCGCTTGCAGATATGAGTAGGCAAGGGGATAAAAGAGTAAAACAGCTCAAAGCTTTATGCACATAGGATATTTCGAATGGCTAACAGAAGAACTAGTTAACGGATGGACAGTCTCATTTTTACATATAGTCCTAAAAATCCATGTTGTAAGGAAATTCTTTGGCTTTCACCTAGGAAGAAATTATTGAATTATCATATACATCCAATTCCACAAGACACAAAGGAAATTCCATGAACTGTCTACGTTGGTACACCTCATTCCCTTTACGAAAGTACCATAACTAACTGTATCATGAAAATCATCATAATAATCAGTGCACTAACCATATCTATGAAGTTTAAGGACCAAACTGTATGCTAAAGTACAATAAACCAACCATATCAAGAAAATCATCATCAGTAAGGGTACTGGCATGAGGGCTTTCAGCTGACAGTCCCCAGAAATCCATTTGAGAAGGACCTCCGTGTTGCAGTAATGGGTTAATAGCGTTTCCATCAGGTTTAAAAGTAGTCTTGCTTGCCCGTTTTGATGGACCACAAGCAACACCTGTATTTTCTGGGATAGAAATTCTCATTGGCCCCTGATCACCCAGGTGAAACCTACTAGCATCAACAGGATGGTGATAGAAGAATGAAGGATAAGGCATAGGAGTCCTGTCCCATGGAACATGGATCTGGGTTCCACTGTACTCTCCATCTCCTGGTGTATATGAACCCTCTGCGAAAGGCTCTGTGGTGAAACTGTGAAAACCAGAAGAACGAAGAATCAACTTTTCAATTTGAAGGTCCAAGAAAGATGCTAGATAACCAATAGCTTAGTTCAGTGATAAGAAACCTTTTCAGGGATCCGTCGAAATCACTATCCCCGTCAATCAACTTACAAAGGGCTTCACCAATATTCTCGGGCAACTCCTGGAATAAATGGATCAGCTAACAAATTCAGCACCATCAGGCATGGAAGACTTGACAGAACAACAAGACCAACGAAAGAAAAGACACCTGACAATCTCTGCTGATTTTAACAGGTTTGTACTCGTTCAGTGGATTCCTAAAATAATAGATTATTAATTGTATCAAAATCACAAAATGCGTAAGTTTTATCTACACAATTGGTTGATAGAGTAGTTGACTCACTCCTACTGTCACTCTAGAAAATGGCCAAGTGCAACCACTTTCTAAAGTGTAGTATAGCGGGTTCGGGTTTTATTGTCAACCCGGGTCCTAGATGTGATGACTACTCGGTGAATTCTTGTTATTTAGCGGCGAACTTTTAGTGTAACTCAAGCAAACAAAACACAAGGCAAGTAAACGGTTTGTTGTCAAGTCAAGAGAGGTCACCCGGATATGGTTCCCCCTAGACTGCAGTTAAGTCGGATTGCAATTTACCAAGTTCAGTTTTTATGAAAGTTATACTGCGGAAGGTTCTCAATTAGCCTGAAGTCTCGACTAAAGGTCTCCAGACCCTCTCAATCTGAGTCTCTAGCGGGCGACTAACCTCCACCGGAGTAAACAGATTGAGGCCCTAACGAACCAAACCTCCACTACCGAATTGAATCCGGTACAGAATAGCGAATTGGCTCCTCGACTAAAGTCACCAATTCGCCACCTTCGATTAAGGATACTCTATCAACCTAGGCAGATATTCTCATTCTAGGTCAAAGCAGAAACAACAGGAATTTGATCAGGATTCAAGTCATTCTATCATTCAAACCTCAATCGAATATAATCAATTCACAAACTCTGTACTTGGGTTCATACAATCAGACCTAGCATACAAATCTAGGGTTCCCCATACCCAGATGAATGGGGAAACTACTCCATAGAGAAAGAAGCAAAAGCAGATTCAGACGCGGAAATCATACTATGAAGTTGGATTTCTGCTCTTGGACGTTTTAATCGCACTTCTCCAAGCTCAAACCGGGCTCCAATGGTGTTGAAGATCGATCTATGGCGCTTGGGAACTCTGGTTCGTCGCTTTCTCTCTCTAGGAATCGATTTCTCTCTCAAAAACTCGGAACCCCTTGAAAATTGGCCTTCTTCCTCTTTTATCAGCTGCCCTCAGCGATACCCGGTCGAAATACCCGGTCGGGTATTTCATGGTTTGACCGGGTATTTCATAAAACGCGACGTTCCACTTTGGGGAAAATCCCCGGTCCAACATCAAAATCCCCGACCGGGGATTTAAGGCCATCGCCCGGGCCCCCTTCTGTTTCTCACGGGTGCCCGAAGGGAAAAATACCCGGTCGAGGCCAGAATATACCCGGCCGGGTATTTCTTCCTTTGACCGGGTATTTTGGTCCAGCAGCATCCTTTATCCCATCTTCGCTCCTTTCGACCCGGAACTCGTTCCTTCGCCTCGATTCCAACGCCAGGACCTGAAATATGACATAAACACACAACCTAGCGTGAAATCGGCTTAAAACACGAGATTCCTCATCACAAACGGCTTCAAAATAGGGGTGAAAACATGTATAATTATCGATCTATCAGTAGTAAATTTTCTTATGCAAATACTACATGGATTCACTTGAGATAAAGTGTAAATTGATACAGTCTTACTAATTTGCTATGAACTTATTATATATATTAGTCAACTTTTTTATGGCTAGCTGGAAAATTGTTTTTGCGGGTTAACCCATGACCCAATCGCACCCATCCGCCACCCACCCCGACCCGCAAAAGAATGTGGATGAATTGCGGGTTACAGTTATTCCAACTCGCTAGTAAGCGGGTGGGTCAATTTGAGACTAAAACCCACCCAACCTGCCCATTGCCCACCCCTAGCTGATAGAACCCATAACTTGATAGAAATCCACAACCCCAAAAGCCTAGAAAGCCATAAACCCAAATCGCGATTCTTTAGCGTGATGGCCTCTCCAATGAGTCTGACTAATAACCCATAAGAAAACCCAGATCCCGCATATGTCGCCCCCACTCCCTTAGTTGAATCGAATACAACAATGTTGTGAGTTTCTACCGGCTAGCAGAGAGCTGTAACGGCAGGTGTGAGGGAGGCGGCGACGGTGGAGGGCTCGGCAGTGGGTGGAGGGTTGCGAGACGACGATGATGGAGGGCGCAATAGGGGTGGAGGGCGGCGGTGCCGTCTGCTAGAGAGAGGTGGAGGGAGAGAGGGAGGAGGGGGAGAGGGAGTAGTTAGGGTTTTATTTATTTATATGAGAGGAAGAATGATTGGGTGTGGTAATATTTTTCCTTCCAAAAATACCCTTATTTTAATCCCGGTCATCAATTTTAAAAAAGGAAGAGATAGACAAGAGAGAGTATATCCAATGGTTAGGAAGTGAGTTGTGAATCTCACAACTCCTATATGGGGAAGCGACGGTATCCCATCCATGGTAAAGGAAACCGTACTGGAAGTCATACCGGATCCACTAGTGGTAGGGTATTTTTGTGGTATTACCGTGGTTCAATCGTTGTGTACCGGCAAAATACTGTTTTTGTAATTAAAAAAAATATTATTTTGTTAAAAAATCGTACCGGCAGATTCAGGATACCGTTTCGGAATAATACCGAAATAAAACATGAATATACCGGAATATTCTTCCGCCTCTAAATTCTTTTTGACAATAGAGACAAGTGAGTACCTCCACTTTTCCATCCTGATGCAAGGAACAATGAGCCCAAGTTGGATCACTTTTGCTTCGTATAACACCCTTTGCGGTAACCTTCAGATTACAAGGAGTTGATCATTTATCAACCGATCAGGCTTCTTCTCCACTGGCCATTGCTGTCAAAACAACCAAAATTCTCATTAGAATAAAGGGCAAAACATTGGAAACAAAAAAACAGCATTATATTTCAAATCAGTCAAAACATCTAAAAAGTCAAAAAACTCAGCGTTCTTGAGTAGTCTCCCAGGCGTTCTTGAGCAGTCTATTTTTTCCAAAACCTCTCTAATTTTTTCTTACCTATGCCCGCCGCGTTCTTGAGTAGTCAGCAGTCTCCGTCCTAGGCGACGTCTTCTTGAGCAGGGGAGGGAGAGGCGCGCCGGCTGAGGAGGAGCGGAGATGAGCAGCGGAGCGGCGGAGAGGAGTAGGGATCACTGGTTGCCGGTCAGGTCGCCGGTCGCTAGAGCAGAGCAAAACAAGGATCGCGACGGGTCGCTGGTCACGGCTCGGCGGTTCCTGGTCGTCGGTCGCTAGAGCAGAACTGGAGAGGAGGAGGAGCGACGAGGGTTCCTTCCTGGTCGGCAGCCGCTGTGAAGAAAGAAAAGAATGCTCCTGCTTTTCGTTTCGTTCGATTTGCTTTAGAGATTAGGGTTTTGAATTTTGGCCTTCGACAGTTTTTTTGTGTGTAAAAAACGACGACGTTCCCTTCCCAAAAGTCTACCCCGATTAGACCATAACTGGGCGGTATTTCGGACTGTGCCGTTTAAACCCGATAAACCGGCCGACGCGATATTCTGCCCACAAACAGCCTACCGTGTCATCCGTGCTCCGATTTCCGGTTTTACCGGCCGGTACGATCCGGTTTCCTTTACCATGATCTCATCCCTTCCACTACCCATTCAATTTTAAAAGATTTTATTTTCGTAGTTTATTGAGGAAAAATATCACGTACCAAGTTTTAGAAAGAAGAGTTTGTAATGAATTTCAACATTGGGTAGAAATTATATTTTCCTAACTAAAAAAAGGAACGTTTGCCAAAATCAATATTGCACAAATATAAGGAAAATGTCTTTAGACTTGAAGAAATTTGATCTAAATGAAAATTCGGCGGAGTTAACAAAGTAAAACATGAAATAAATTATTGAATGTAAAGCTCTAGTCAAATGAAAATCTAGTTATGAGTAAGATCCGGATGATTTATAAATTATACATGGCTTTCGGAAGACTGTTGTAAGTCCGCCCCTGTGGCTTCATTTTGGCATATTTGGAGAGTTTGAAAATTAGAAAGCATTGTAAAGTGCAAACTGCAAACTCACTTGGTTGGTGTTGGTGGATTGGGAGTAATCCCCCGGCCACAACTCAACGCGGCAGTAGAGAAGAGAAGAATAGAATATTTAATTGATTACAGAATCGAATAGGATTGGGATTTGGGACTAACTAATCAACAAATGATACGGAAAAGGAAGAAATAAGGTGCATAAATAAATAAATAGGAAGTTGTTGTGTTGTGTGGTTCCCAAATCCCGGAGGTGGATCGAGAGAAGCAGGCAGGCAGGCGAACAAGTCAACCATGGGTGCTCCAAATCCAAAAAAGCAAAAAACGACGACGGCGGATGAGGTGGGTTGGGAAAGCCTTCCGCGGGATCTCCTAATCGCAGTAGCCACAAGATTGAGAAATCTGTCGACGAACATTCGTTTCACAGGCGTGTGCCGTTCGTGGAGAGTCGCGGGCTTACCGGACCGCCGGCGCTTGATCGGGCGACAAATTCCGGGCCTCCTTCTCCCTCGGTCCGATAACAGCCTCGGCGGCACACGCAAGTTTATTCAGGTGACAGCAATCGTCAATCAGAATCAGAAGAAGAAGAAGACGAAGCGGCGGAAGGTTGTTCCGTGTCGCTTGGGGGATTGTTGGAGCCTCTGCAGCGGGTCGGTGAGAGGATGGATTCTTCTCCTGGACAGCGACCTGAGGATGGTGCTGGCGAACCCTGCGACTGGTTCACAAGTTGCTCTCCCCGGAGACGTCGGTACTGGTCGGAGAATCGAGTCTGAAGATTTCCAAAAGTGGGGATTCTGGCATTCCAGGAGGGTCACAATCTGGGCTCCCTCTGCTAAGGTTTCGGATTGGTTTGTGTTCGTGCTGTTGCCCGAACCCCATTGCAAAATTTACATCAAGTATTGCAGGGTGGGAGCTCGGGGAGGCTGGGCGGTTATGGAGTTTCCAGGGTGCCGATACGGGGTTTGTTTCATTGTGGATGCACTCTGCAGCAGTCTGGAAGCAGGGTATCTCTACGTGCTGATCAGTACAGGGGAGCTCTTCCGCTGCAATTTCGCTGCCAAGGTGACCGAGACGACAAGGGTGGTTGAAAGCTCTCAACCGCTGGCCGATCCTTTCATGTCAGCCCCAGAATTCAACTATCTCGTTGAAGTTGAGGGCCAAATTCTGGTGCTCCATCGGAACAGAGAAAGTCAGGGCAATGCAGAGGCGTACTCCAGGACTCGCGGGTTTGATGTGTACGGGCTCGACGGGGAGGGGAAGC